GGCTGCTGCAGCAGCAGGGAAGGGCCCGTGGTCCGGCGCGGCATGGGGCGCCTGGTTGTCAGCTGGGCGCTTCCCAGCCCGGCTGTGTTCCGCCCGCCCGTGCGCCCGCCCGCGCTGCGTGCAGGAGCGCCGCACGCAGCTGTTCAGCGCCACCATGACGAGCAAGGTGGCCAAGCTGCAGCGCGCGTGCCTGCGCGACCCGGCCAAGGTGGAGGTGGCCTCCAAGTACAGCACGGTGGACACGCTGCGCCAGCAGTACATGTTTGTGCCCGCCAAGTACAAGGACTGCTACCTCACCTTCCTGCTCACCGGTGGGTGGGTGGGCGGGTGGCTGGCTGGGTGGGTATGGCGGGCGCTGGCAGCGTGTGGCGTGGGCAGGAGCGCGAGGCAGCGGGCGGTGGGTACGAGCCATGCCGCTACCACACACGCCCACACGCTCACCCTCCATCGTCTCACCCCCACCCCCCCCCACCACCCCCACCCTGCAGAGCTGGCGGGCGCCACCTCCATCATCTTCACCCGCACCTGCGACTCCACCCGCAGGATCGCGCTCATGCTGCGCAACCTGGGCTTTGGGGCGGTGCCCATCCACGGCCAGATGAGCCAGCCCAAGCGCCTGGGGGCGCTCAACAAGTTCAAGGTGGGCGCAGGCGCGGGCGCCGTCGGGTGGGCAGCTGAGTGGCGGGGACAGGCTGTGTGTGCGACGCTGCGCGTGGCAGCGGTGGCCGGCGCGGGGCGGGGCTAGGGGCGCATCCCGTGCCGGGCCACGCCTGCTGCCGCGGCCGGCCGCGGCCCTCCCTTCCCTGTGGGCACCCCTCCCGCCCCTCGCCTCCCACCCCGACCGTCCACTGCTGCCCCTGCCCGCCTCCCCTCCACCGCCGCACCGCCATGCACCCCGCGCGCCGCAGGCCGGCGAGCGCAGCATCCTGATTGCCACCGACGTGGCGTCGCGCGGCCTGGACATCCCCTCTGTGGATGTGGTAGTCAACTACGACGTGCCCACCAACAGCAAGGACTATGTGCACAGGGTGGGGCGCACGGCGCGCGCGGGGCGCTCGGGGCGCTCCGTCACCATCGTCACCCAGTGAGTGTGGTGGTGGTGGTGTGTGTGTGTGTGTGTGTGTGTGCTTTGGGGGGGAGGAAACGAGGTAGTGGGGTTGCTGCTGTTGTTGGGGCCTGGAGGCGGCGCGTGCTGGCTGCACAGCGGTGCCCGCTCCCCAGCAT